AAGGCAGAGCGCTGATGGGCAGGATGAGATGATAATGTGGATATGAGTTTAAAGCCTGTCCTCTTTAGGCCTATTTAGTCTAATATAAACAATATGGTATACACAAGGCGCTGTGCAATGCATTAATATGGAAGAGTTAGATTTGGACAGTAATTTCAGAAATGGTTTTGTGAGAATGATTATGCAAGTCATTAATGTTCTAAATATTAACATAAAGGTGTTGGTTGTTGTATTTATAAATCAGTTACAAGTGTGACAGGCCTGAAAATACTGGAAAATATACTTCAAAACATTTACACGCATTTCAGATATTTAATGGATCCTATTCATCTAGGAATCAATGCCAAACAGAACACATTTCCACCCATCAAATTAATAATAAAACACCAGGGGCTAATAGGATTCAGTAAAGTTTAAAACTCTAACAAAATATTTTATGTTGATATCATCACCCGCTTGTTTCTATGGATTTTTTATTGCTCACTAAGCATACACTCTGGTTGTGAATGGGGTTGCCTCTCCACAGATCTGACCTGTAACTGGTTTGGTCTCATCTCATCTCAAACATCCCAGATGAAGGAGTAACATCTCCATGGAGACAAGCGAGATAAGCGTTTGACGGGCCCTCCACCTGAAATCTTCCACAATGCACCTTTAAATACCTAGTAAATGCACAACTAAAGTGACCCTAATTTTCTAATAAGCTCTGAGTTAAACTTCTCGGCATGTAAACGTCTTGTCTTATCTGTGTATCTGCCCCATTTGGATAGCACACATTTCCATAATGAAAGGTGCAAGCCAAATTTGTGCTGCCTTTTTCATTTAATTTGCCTTCCCAATCTGTTCACAATTAGCTCCTGATTTACAAAGGCAGCAGCGCAGCACCTGGGATCAACTCCATACAAGATACTGTGTAGCAAGCTGCATAAAAGTAACCAGAAAATACACAACAACATCAGAGGATTTACTATCTTAACTTTGTATTACCTTGAATCTTGCTGCCAAGTCCAGTGAATCAGATGATGAAGAAAATAAATATGGTTTCTGGCTTTTGCTATTAAACGCAAACAACACATTTAAAGGTCTTATATTACGCAAAATTGACTCGTGCGAGCTTTTATCCATGTTAAAAAGTTATCACCTCATCAAAAACATACAGTACATACATACGGGTTTGTGTTTTGTTTCATTTGGGCATGTTTGAGTATTTATTATTAGTCAGTCTACATCTCCAAAGCTCAAAATGCTCTGTTCCACCTTGATATATATAAAATATTGTAAATATATAACAAATTAAATAATAAAATATGAGCATGCAGAGCAATGTGAGGACAACTCCAAATGCAAACTAATAATGAAAATAAAATTATTTGAGTGTTTTTCAAGTGACCACTGTTATTGTTCATGAATCCAACAGCAGAGGGGAAGTATTGGGAGAATTTCAGTCAGACCATGTTGTTCTGCCAATTCAAGAGGACATGTGACCTGAGCCAGGGATTTCACAGAGAGAGACATTTTGTCACTGAAAACACTTGACTTTGTAATTGTTAGTGCTGTTTTTCCACTCATACATGAAGTCCACAGTGTTAATATCCCTGTGTTCAATATATAAAAGAGAAGTTCAAGGAGGCTAACACACTGAGCATAAAGGACAGAATAAAGGAGAATGTATTATTGGAACAACATTGTGTCTATGTGTGCCCTTAAAAGTGTGTAATATTGTATTTTATTTTTTAAGCAATATGAGATAAAATGTCTTGATAACAATTTTCTGCTCAGATGAAATTAAACTGAAATCTAATGTGATGAAGATATGAAGAAAATAAGGTTGTGTTTTTAAAGTCTTAAAATCATGACTTCCAAAGTAAAATCAAGTCTCTCCCTGATGTTTGCCTAACCTCTTAAATTACTCATATGTTCTTCTGAGCTTGGGAGTTTTTAAAAACAACCCAGCAGCCATTTCTGTCTGTGGCAAAGAGCTGGGGACTTATCTTGGTAATGTGCAAAAACAGCATTTCCTGAGCACACCTGAAAGGCTCCACTCAAGTACATCACAGTACTTGAAAAGAAATAAAATTGTTAGGAGGGAGCGCCTGACAGCTTACCAATATAGTCTGGGATTTAGTGCAAGCAAAACACTGGCAGACGGTGCTAAGACTGCACAAATAACCCCCTCAAAAAGGCATTTGCTGGAGCCCCTAACAGATGGAGGGGAAAACAAATGTAGATGCTACTTTTCCTGGTTGCTAAGCACCACCTGGAGGTAATAGATGTGTTCTGTGTCTAAGAGGCGAGAGATGGTCTTAGATTGCACTGCCAAGGGTCAGCTCGACCACAGGAAAAGCCCATGCTCACACAGGTATAGACAAGATTTGAAGTGACTCAAACATACCTATTTCATTTTGGCACACACAAAAATTGTATCTAAGGTGGAATTGAGCTACATAAAAAGGAAAAAAAAATCTAAGGTAGACAGTCATTTTCAAACATCTGGTGCTGTTGGCAATTTGGAATGGCTAGCAGCAAAACGGAAGTAGCATTGACTGTGTAACAAAGTTATGAAAATGATCATTATGACAGGTCTATACTATTTTCTGTACAGTCTTACAGTGTTGTGCAAGTTCACACTTTTCATGAACTAGTTCAAAGTTCAGTTCACACTTGTTCAAAGTGAATAGTTCACGTTCATAGTTCACAATTTTAATTTTGAACTAGTTCAAAGTTCAGTTCATTTTATATTTAGATGAGATCTGTAAATGAAAGGCTGCATTTATTTTTCAAACTGACTTCTAGTTTACAACAACTTTACAAGATCCACTGTTGGACAAGTGACTTTAAAACTGTGATGTGTTATTTATGACTTGTTCCTGTCATTTCAAAGTCATTTGTTACATTACAATATTACTGTATAAATGTAAAACATTATATGACTATTGCAGCACTTTTAATTTACTCTCACCAAAAGAACTGTGAAGATGCTGAACTTTTGTGCCGTATATGGACTGAACCAGGACTGAACCAGGACTAAACCAGGACTAAACCGGAACTGAACCAGGTCCAAACCAGGAATAAACCAGGTCTAAACCAGGACTAAACCAGGTCTAAACCAGGACTAAACCAGGTCTATACCAGAACTGAACCAGGACTAAACCAGGTCTAAACCAGGTCTAAACCAGGACTAAACCAGGACTAAACCAGGACTAAACCAGAACTGAACCAGGACTGAACCAGTTCTAAACCAGGAATAAACCAAGACTAAACCAGGACTGAACCAGAATTGAACCAGGTCTAAACCAGGATTGAACCAGGACTGAACCAGGACTAAACCAGAACTGAACCAGGTCCAAACCAGGACTAAACCAGGTCTAAACCAGGACTAAACCAGAACTGAACCAGGTCTAAACCAGGACTAAACCAGAACTGAATCAGGTCTAAACCAGGACTAAACCAGGTCTAAACCAGGTCTAAACCAGGACTAAACCAGGACTAAACCAGGACTAAACCAGGACTGAACCAGGACTGAACCAGGTCTAAACCAGGAATAAACCAAGACTAAACCAGGACTGAACCAGAATTGAACCAGGTCTAAACCAGGATTGAACCAGGACTGAACCAGGACTAAACCAGAACTGAACCAGGCCTAAACCAGGACTAAACCAAGACTAAACCAGGACCAAACCAGGACTAATCCTGGACTAGAACTTGGAATCTAGGACCGCCCCTGAGAGAACCCCGAGTGCGATCGGGCGTCAGCTGCGTTTATCTCGGTGGAGCGCGGACTTCTGCGTCGGTCCTTTCGCTCAGGATCACGGTCTACGCGGGCGCACCTCCGGCGTTTCACCGCTGCTGATATCGCGGTGATTTTAGCAAATTTGTGTGAAGAAAAACGAAAAACCCACCATTTCAATCCAGGTTAAAAAAGCATTGTGACGCGCGTTACTGACATATGTACCAAGTAAAATAATACGCGCGCAGAGCAGCACGTCCTGTGCGTGTAGATTTCAGAAAATAGGATCCATCCTATTTTTTGACGCTCTACACGAGCGTAGGCGCGTATCCCCGTCAAAATCCACAGAGAGCATGTATCTGTTGTTGTATCTGTGCATTTACCATCAGCACATTGTGCTCCCTGGGCAGTTGTGTATCATGTGAAAGAGCCCAGATCCACATACACTGTTAATTAGTGCTTTGAAATTTACTTTTGAAATCCTTGCGTTTGCCGTGGTCAGCCTGTACAGAAGGTAAATACAAGCAGCTAAACGCGCCCAGTCAAGTTTGATTGACTTCTCATTGAGAGACACAAGAGCCCGTACGTTCTGCTAAAGCTGCCGGTGGAGTCGCCTTCACGTTGACACGCGGCTGTGGTTTCGCGAGGTGAAGTGCGAGCAGAACCTCACTCGTCAGGTGAAAACAAATTCCGACGTTTAACTGAACCCCAACAGTGACGTACGTCGTTCATCACACATAATCTGAACAAATTCACGTTCAAGTTCTTGATTTACAAAAGTGTTGCGTTCAGTTCAAAGTTCACTGAAAAACGAACGTGTTCAATGAACGCGTTCTTTTGAACTCGTTCATGCACAACACTGCAGTCTTACTACCTAGTAACATAATTCCAGTAACGCAACAAGTCCCAACAGATTTAAAAAATGACTTGATACAACAGTTACTATAAGCTATTGTGATATTCTGTTTGGGGACTGGGAAGCCATCCAATCCCAGTGTACCCTGCGGTCAGCCATGACTCCTTTATAAGAGCCATTTGCACCTCTGGATTCTCTCATACATATTCATACTGCTGCACAATGACAGGAAAATGCATTCAACATTCAGTACGACTCATGTGAAGAGGTCAGTGCAGCAGGCGATAAATCAAAACTTGTATGTTTTTCTTATATGTTCTTATATGAAAGAGTTTGTGTGAATGTGGTCAAAGGTGGCGTGCTTGCAGTGACGTTTGATTTTCGTCAGTGTAGATGTTATAAAAGGAAGTGACTCACCACACAGCCAGTGGAGTCCAGTTTACGGTCGGAGATACAGCGGAAGTTTCTGCTGCAGCCGCCATTGTCTTTGGTGCAGTCCCTGACCGGTCCAAACGAGTCCAGCAACACCTCCAGAGAGTCAAAGGACGAGCTGATCATCAACTCCTCCCTGTGTCAAAGACCAGAGGACATTCACTCAGGGATTATGGGAGTATGAGGACGCCATATCAATTTGTGTAGTAAAGGGGTGTCAAGGCAAATAGTTTTTTCGATAATTATCATTATTTGTCACAACAACAAAAAGGGACACCAGGCCCAGATGCCCCTGATTGCCAGGCCTTGCCCCACAACGGGACAGAGGGGGGCACTTCTTCACCTAAACCTACATTTTAATTTCATAATGTTGGACACATACTAGAGGAATTAGACACTGGGAATGAACAAATATGGATTTCACTGTTGACAATGAATTATAAAACTGTGAAGTTTCTTTTTACAATAATAATCATAATCAAAATTGCATAAACTGACATCCCTCGAATTGAATTAGGCAAGCGTCAGCCCTAATCTATCAGGTCCTATACACTTGTTTATTTCCATTATGCCTTCTTTACTGGTTCCAAATACTAGCTTTCACTGATTGGGCTATGGTATCCATAGTTACCATACAGGTATCGATTTGTTGTGAGCAGTAGCCATGGACATGGTACCATATTCACCTAATGGAAACCCATCCAGAACAGAACCAAGGGCAGATAGAAATGGGGAAAGACAAACTTTATAGGGAAATTGACACAGTAGCATGTTTTATTTCTTATTGGAGTGAATGCAGTTGAATGGATTTCAAAAGCAGTTTTAAGGTAAATACAGTTATAGGATATTTGTGATTTGTGTAGGAGAGTGTAGACAGGGGTAGATGAGGAGGACTGACCCTCCATTTGACATAACATACATGAGATTGAGAGAACAAAATAAGTGTTACATGGGTCATGAGGAGCAGCTGGAAAATGCTGTTTCCACCTGTTTTTCACCTGTTTGCAGCACACTCAGAAGATTACAGTTACACTTACAGTCTTTTCAGATGCTTCCTACATGCAACTATGAGGAGTCCTGCAGTTTTCTTTTTTGGAGAAGAGTCAATACAACATCCTTATTATACTGTGATGCTCAAAGTGATTTACCTATTACTATTACTACTGCCCTATGCAACCCCTTCCGACATAGATAACCATACTCCAATGGGGGAAATATTGCCTCTCCCTATTTTTATTTTTTTTTTTTTTTGAAAGAAGACATCATTAGCCCTCTGCATCATGAAAAATTATATTATTCTACACAGGATTTCATAGACAAATCTAATCATGCAAACACCCCATCAAGTTCTTTCCTTAAAAAAAAGAAGGTGGTTAATTTGAAATCATTAGATATTCCTTTCCTAATGCACTCCTAGCATCCTAATTATTCACTGGGTATGTAAGCACTTTTCACAACTTTCAGAAGCCCTCACTGTAATGCTAACAACAACCAGCCCGCTATCCAGTCTTACTTCCTGGTTCATGGACAATAAAATATATTTATAATTTTATGCAGACAGCAGAAAATGGTTTCATTTGGACCCTAAGAGCTTTGTAGGGCTTTTACTTGTCTGCGTACACTTGTGTGACTGTGTGTGTGTGTGTGTGTGCGTGTGTGTGCATGTGTGTGAATGGGTAAATGGTTCCTTGAAGTAAAGAGCTTTGAGTGCCTTGCAGGTGGAAGGGGCTATATAAAAATCTGACCATTTACTATTTAACCAACTACCTACTGATTTACTGAGTACCTCTCACTGTTTATTTTTGTACAGCATTGAGTTTCTTATTGTTTCATACATATTTATATCACTTTCAGGCAAAGAATAAATTAATGACACAATTCGTCCTGCCAGCAATACATGAGTAACTATGAACACAAACTCCCTGGGATCATGTCTGAGACAGTCTGCACGGAAACAAGCAACAATCAGTGAGCAGAGTGTTGTAGCACATGCATACCACCTTGATCTGTTTAACTTAATAAAAGAAATATCTCTTTTCATGAATCACAAATACTTTCATGTTTAATTCATTCACTGTAATCCTCATTAGAAAAGCTATGACCGGCACAATTGCTATGCTAAGTACTCAACTCTAGAGATAAAACACTGCAAAAATCCAGTGCGCTAACCTTGCTCCCAGCTCCTTGAGTCTACAATTTAGATTCTTAGTTTTTTTTTATTCAATAATAACTCCCCCAATCCATTGTGCAAGGTCACTTAGTAGATGATCTGCTCGAAGGACAACAATATATTTGGTCAACTTTTTTTTTCCTGAATTTTAATGTAGTGTATGCCTATTTCTTGCAGAGAAGAATTGCATTACGGCTAGATAAACAATAACTTTTATAATAGGATTGCCATGAACCTTGAAAATGATGGCCTCAAACACCAATCTTTACCCACAATTCCCCAGTCCTCACACGGCAAGGGTGAACTTTTCCTCCTGTTTTGATGCTATCTTACAAACCAATTTTTCTATTATAATTGCCCATTGCTTTGTTGCCATTTACTCAGAGGGGGCCTATTGAACACAGCCTGAACAGATGACGAAACTCACAGCAAGCGTTAAAGCTGAATTATCTGGCAACCACAATTACATTCAACACAGGCCCACAGTTTGTTCATTCTACACCATTTACAATAAAGGTTAGACAAAAATGCTCACCACCGCACAGATAACTGCCACAGACTACAACTGTATTAAATCTCAAAAAGAATAGAGTATATGGTAACAGTAAAAGAACATAGTAGGGTTTTTCTTCACCTACTGAGACAAAAACGGTTATCTGACCTTCTGGGATTGTATTGCTCAATCAAAAAAAAAATAGCATTGTTATCTGTGAGGGCGCAGCAGAGGTTGATAAATTCAACGTATTGGAAAGTAAATCTATTTTCATGCACTGTTTAAGAGAAATGTGACAGAATAATGGTGCCAGTACACAGTGTTGCAGTGTGGACAAAGATAATGGTGTGGTTTTGCATTGAAAATATGGGTTTAAGTAAAAGTAAAATAAAGTAAAAATATGATCTCTAATGGAATTTTGGGCAGCTGTAATCGTCTTTACACTTGTTCTGACTATTTGAAAGTGGCAAGGGCATAAATAAATAAATAAATAAATAAATAGCTCAGTTGGTAGACTGTCCACTGATCTGAAGGTTGGCAGTTCCAATCCCGCTCTCAACATGAACAACATTGGTGGAGTCGTCAGCTCCACTGACCCACAGGTTGGCAGTGCAATTCCAGCTGTTGTGGATGAATGCTGCCGTTGTGTCCTTGGGCAAAACACTTGACCCACCTCACCCACATTGTCTGTGTATGCTGGTGTATGAATGTCCTTGATATAAAGTGCGTTGAGTAGGGATGGGCATTCGATAAAATTTTCTTAATCAATCGTTGGGAGAATTAACAATCGAGTTTCAATTAATCATTAACATTTTTATATTAAAATTATCATCATTATTATTACTATCTGCACTACTAATGCATAAATAAATTAAACTTTACGACATATAAACTGTAACCACTATAGAGCCACATCAGCCCGTTTGACATTATAATGTGTTTAATGCAGCTTTGCGCAACTCTCACAGAAATGAAACTTTAAACAACATGGCTAAATTGCATAAACTAAGCAAAGAAAAAAACAGCTCTTTTGCACTGATGCGGTCAACTTCTGTCGGACTAAAGGACACGACACGAGTGGAATATAGGTTAGGGTGATCATATTTGCGTTTGTCAAATCCAGGACACCGTACGGGGGTGGGTGGTGGGGCCTTGTCATCGACATTGAGCTACTTTCACCTGGCAAAGCTTTTTAATATTTTTCAGTGTCCTGGTGAGCTTTGAGGTCCATGACACCCCCACTGGACACCGAAACATATGTGCTTACTATGCACATGGTCTCCCACTTGTCCTGACCGGGATGGAAAGCGGGGAATTTCTTGCACATGTCATCGTTAAATGCGCGTCGGCATGTTGCAGACTGACCGACTGTTTGTGTCTGCTCGCTCCTTTTGAATGCACAGAGAGCTACGAGAGCCGCTCAGTTTAATGTCCCAATGAAAGGTAATGAAAACCCGGACATTTGCATCAGAAAAAAAAAAACACAAAAAAACAGACAGCCAGGACGTGAAAAATGGACGTTTGGTCACCCTATAGCCACACACAGCAACCTACATTTGGTTTGTCGATTAAAAATGAACTTTATCAACAAAATTCTTAATGATCAGTTATAGATTAATCAACTAATCATGCCCATCCCTAGCATTGAATACCTTGAAGTTAGAAAAGCTCTGTATAAAAATGTGACTATTTACCATTTATGTAAAAAAGTAAATAAATAAAGCCTAGAAGTCACTGCAGACCAAAACAGTAACACACGGTGATTTAAGTCTGGGGATTTAACAACGACCCTTTCTCAGCAGAGCCCTTACCAACTGCGCTGCCATGTTGTGAGTACACATTTATCAGTAATGCAGCCCTCTCAGGTCCCAGGCTCTGTATTGGCAAAGTGTGATTAGGCTGTTGTGTAATCTGATAGTGAACAGTGACATCACTTAGAGCAGATAAACATTTTAATTGTGTGTCAAAGCAGCAGATAGAGAATGCAGTGCCACAGGAGTAATAGCTTTGAAAGTGCCTGCTCGAATCCAATGGTTTTATTCTAGTATTGATTGGATGTGTTTAATTTGAGATAGGCCACTAATATAACCTGTGACACTGACATGGGGGCCGCCAGAGAGACATTTAAGTTAGTGGTCAATTTAAATAGTAAGAAATGCTAGTTCATTAGAAAATAGTTCTATCACAGTGGGCTCAATATTCCTGGACTGACAAAGGAAAACTGATTAAATAAAAATATATTTGTTTGTGTTTGAAAGGTTTGTAATTTTATGAAGAGTTTTTTTTTTTTTTTTACAATCTTAACTGGATATATTCTACATCATCTGGAAGAATTGTAATCATATATTTGTTCTCAAGTAGTTGTTTCTTTTTTCTATATTTATATGCTATTAGTTTGACTGAAATGTTCCACTGTATGGCTTTAAACTGATCTATCTCCAAGGACAAGCAGGTGGCACCTTCAGGCCAAGTT